ATGCTAATCCAAAAACCCGAGGCATTTCCTTATATAGCCTCTTCGGGTCAAGACTTTCATATGCATGTCATGCATGATGCCAATCCAAACACCTGAGGCATGTCCTTATATAGCCTCTTCGGGCCAAGACTTTCATATGGATGTCATGCATAATGCCAAATCAAACACCCAAAACATATCCTTATATAGCCTCTTCGGGCCAAGACTTTCATATGGATATCATGCATAATGACAATCCAAACACCCGAGCCATGTCCTTATATAGCCTCTTCGGGTCAAGACTTTCATATGGATGTCATGCATTATGCTAATCCAAACACCCGAGGCATTTCCTTATATAGCCTCTTCGGGTCAAGACTTTCATATGGATGTCATGCATGATGCCAATCCAAACACCTGAGGCATGTCCTTATATAGCCTCTTCGGATCAAGACTTTCATATGCATGTCATGCATGATGCCAATCCAAACACCTGAGGCATGTCCTTATATAGCCTCTTCGGGCCAAGACTTTCATATGGATGTCATGCATAATGCCAATCCAAACACCCGAGCCATGTCCTTATATAGCCTCTTCGGGTCAAGACTTTCATATGGATGTCATGCATGATGCCAAATCAAACACCCGAGCCCTGTCCTTATATAGCCTCTTCGGGTCAAGACTTTCATATGGATGTCATGCATGATGCCAAATCAAACACCCAAAACATATCCTTATATAGCCTCTTCGGATCAAGACTTTCATATAGATGTCATGCATGATGGCAATCCAAACACCCAAGCCATGTCCTTATATAGCCTATTCGGGTCAAGACTTTCCTATGGATGTCATGCATGATGCCAATCAAACACCTGAGGCATGTCCTTATATAGCCTCTTCGGATCAAGACTTTCATATGGATGTCATGCATGATGCCAAATCAAACACCCAAAACATATCCTTCTATAGCCTCTTCGGATCAAGACTTTCATATGGATGTCATGCATGATGCCAATCCAAACACCTGAGGCTTTTCCTTATATAGCCTCTTCGGGTCAAGACTTTCATATGGATGTCATGCATTATGCTAATCTAAACACCCGAGGCATTTCCTTATATAGCCTCTTCGGGTCAAGACTTACATATGCATGTCATGCATGATGCCAATCCAAACACCTGAGGCATGTCCTTATATAGCCTCTTCGGGCCAAGACTTTCATATGGATATCATGCATAATGACAATCCAAACACCCGAGCCATGTCCTTATATAGCCTCTTCGGGTCAAGACTTTCATATGGATGTCATGCATTATGCTGATCCAAACACCCGAGGCATTTCCTTATATAGCCTCTTCGGGTCAAGACTTTCATATGGATGTCATGCATGATGCCAATCCAAACACATGAGGCATGTCCTTATATAGCCTCTTCGGATCAAGACTTTCATATGCATGTCATGCATGATGCCAATCCAAACACCTGAGGCATGTCCTTATATAGCCTCTTCGGGCCAAGACTTTCATATGGATGTCATGCATGATGCCAATCCAAACACCCAAGCTATGTCCTTATATAGCCTCTTCGGGTCAAGACTTTCATATGGATGTCATACATGATGGCAATCCAAACACCCAAGCCATGTCCTTATATAGCCTATTCGGGTCAAGACTTTCATATGGATGTCATGCATGATGCCAATCCAAACACCTGAGGCATGTCCTTATATAGCCTCTTCGGATCAAGACTTTCATATGGATGTCATGCATGATGCCAAATCAAACACCCAAAACATATCCTTATATAGCCTCTTCGGATCAAGACTTTCATATGGATGTCATGCATGATGCCAATCCAAACACCCGAGCCATGTCCTTATATAGCCTCTTCGGATCAAGACTTTCATATGGATGTCATGCATTATGCTAATCCAAACACCCGAGGCATTTCCTTATATAGCCTCTTCGGGTCAAGACTTTCATATGCATGTCATGCATGATGCCAATCCAAACACCTGAGGCATGTCCTTATATAGCCTCTTCGGGCCAAGACTTTCATATGGATGTCATGCATAATGACAATCCAAACACCCGAGCCATGTCCTTATATAGCCTCTTCGGGTCAAGACTTTCATATGGATGTCATGCATTATGCTAATCCAAACACCCGAGGCATTTCCTTATATACCCTCTTCGGGTCAAGACTTTCATATGGATGTCATGCATGATGTCAATCCAAACACCTGAGGCATGTCCTTATATAGCCTCTTCGGATCAAGACTTTCATATGCATGTCATGCATGATGCCAATCCAAACACCTGAGTCATGTCCTTATATAGCCTCTTCGGATCCAGACTTTCATATGGATGTCTTGCATGATGCCAAATCAAACACCCAAGCCCTGTCCTAATATAGCCTTTTCGGATCAAGTCTTCCATGTGAATGTCATGCATGATGCCAATCCAAACATCCGAAACATGTCCTTATGTAGCCTCTTCGGGTCAAGACTTTCATATGGATGTCATGCATGATGCCAATCCAAACTCTCGAGACATGTACTTATATAGCCTCATTGGATCAAGACATTCATATGGATATCATACTTGGTACCACAATTTTTCTAACATATCTAAATTGTTGGCTTTATAAATTTTCTTTCTCAGATTGATGGTTAATGACATTAGTATATATTTATATATTAAAACCTGTACGAAATAATAGAAACCACATCAATTGAGCACTTTCAACAGCAACAACTAAAATGACAATCACATATGCTCCAAAGAGAAAATAAGGACATAATCAATATGTTAATCTTCCATACTGCTTCAAACAAGAGTTTAGGAAGCCCCCCACCCCACTATCAATAATGGAAGGAGCAATAACAGCTATTGGTTTCAAGAAATCTTTTTCTGGAAAAATTGTTTTAAGTGAAAGATTTTATAAATTTCAAAATGAAAGCAGCACTGGCTTCTCAGTCAATGAATGTCAAATGTTTTATTTGTAAGGAAATGATTATATTACAATTACCATTAGAGGTGAGAAGAACAGGTACTACACTTTGATCCTAGCCAGATTACCAGAGAAGAAAGAAAAGCGTATTCTCAGTCTTTGGATTAATTGAATTTTTCATAATACTGAAAATTTATGCTTTTTTGGCTATTCCTTAATGAGTGAATTGCTTGTATTTAAACACAATTTCAAAGTCTTAAGCTTTTATTCTTAGAACAAAATTATTCAGCCTTGACAATGTCTTATAACAAAACATTCAGAATTTAAGGTTGTGTGTCGGTGTCTTGTAGGTATGTGTGTGTGTTTACATGTAAACAGTTAAAGGAGACACAACACAAACTTCTACGGATTGTTTATTCTTTTTTATAGACTCTAGAGAAAAAATGTTCTTAATGTCTCACATGTACATCTATTTTCTTTTTCTGGTCCACAATAAGAATGGTTTTAATGGGTGAGCTGAAGTCAGCTTTGTGCTGAGTTGGAATGACCAAAGTAAAGGTTGTACTTACTTGGTTGGTGGAGGTTCTGAAAATTATATCTGAATGCTATGCATTAGAAAATGGGAAGGGAGCAATGTTCTGTCCTTTTTGGAAGTGTCATCATAGACCAGTTTCTTTATTAATAACACCATGGGAAAATGTATTTATTTTTTTTTTTATTCTTATTATTTATTTTATTTCATTTTCCCACAAAACCTTATGAAATTATTATTATTATTATTATTATTATTATTATTATTAATATTTTAGTAAAATAATTCCTTTTTATACACTTTTTAATATTGCAATATCATATCAACTCATTATTTATCTATAGGTATATTTTTAAGATTATTTCATAGATTTATAAAAAAGTTTTTTCTCTCGCTATTAATAGCTTGTATTGCGGCAAAATTAAAATGAAAATTCAAGAGTTGCACATTAGTTTTTGTATGGGTTTAATCTTGACCAGAATGTCTTTCAAAGTGCTCATCATATTAATCGAACGTGAATTCAAGTTTCCTCTTTAGAATGTTCGATCCATTGTCGGTTTCTGAAGAATTCAAATGGAAATGCAAGTTGGAAAGATTACAAAGACAGATGGTATCCTGTCAGAGTTGCAAAGTTGAAAGAATTAGTAAAAGAGAATTCACATTAACCCATTTAAGAAATGCATGCCAAATTTAAATGTTGCAATTTCAAACTATTTCAGAACATTTCAAGCAAATTGGAAAAGTAAAGAAATTTGACAAATCTGTACTTGCTGAACTTATCAAAATTTTTTGACATCAGCATTTTGAATTTTTCTTGATGTTGTTCCCATAAAAAATAGATATTTTCTTTTTGATTAAATAGTGATGTGTGGATTAAAACTAAACCTTTTATGAAAAATGGAAAAAAACTCCACATTGATGTGACGAGGATGGAATTGTCAATTTTCAAAGACAGTGATAACCAATAAAATGTTATGGTCATTGTATGATAGTCTGGGATATGTATGATCTTTAGGATTGTAATATACAGCATAATCTTCGCCTTTTCTATATATACTTTCATGGTATTTGTTCTGATGAACATTCCTCTATGGTACCAAGACTATCAATTTAATTGCAATACTAGATTGGTGGCAAGGTCTTATCATTTTACAGTTGAAATTGATAGATGTAAGCATAATTTCTATGCTAGCAGTTTCTTTTCTCACACTTCTCACTTGTAGAAATCTCTTCTGGATTCTTGCTTCCCAGTCAACTTTGATCATCAAAAATTTAAATGTAATGTTAATCATTATTTTCTATCTTCTTAACTCTTGTTCTTTTATTGTCCTCTCTCTGTGATAATATATTTTTCTCATTTTCTATAAACACTCAGTAACATCTTGTGTCTTAGTGAATTTATTGCCTTACTTGGAGTGAAATGATTAAAAATCCCCATGAGTTATTCCCCTTGATTGTTATTTTTAACCATAACCATTTTTTTTATTTTGCAACCATTTCACCCCAAGCAAGGCAATAAGGCCCCTAAGATGCAGGGGGTTACTGGGCCTGAAAGAGAATGAAAAAAAGGCTATAGTGATGAGAAAGGAAAATAAAAGAACAGGGTTCAGGAAAACAGAAGATGGCAATTGATATTGCATTTAAATTCCTTTTAAGATTGTAGGTGGCAAGAGAGCAGGAAATCAGAAGGATGTCCCAAATATGAGAAGTGTGAGAACTTAAAATGTTGGGATAAAATAATAAAAAGATAAAGATATTATTTAAAAAAATCTGGAATAATTAGAATACTTCATCTGAGAACTTTAGATAAGTGTTAGGATAAAAGTAATAAAAAGATAGAGTAATAAATAAAAAAATGTCTAGAATAAGGAATATTGTTCATTTTAGCACTTCAAACAACTTAATTTACTACTACAAGCAGTAAAGTCAGTAACCACTAAATCTGTATGACTGTATTTCCCTTCTATAATTCTTATTTCCACATTTTTATAAATTATTTTTGCTCCCTAAAGTGACATTTGATTAAAAACCAAGATGGAATTATTCAAACTAAAAAGAGTGAATATATAAGGCAGACAAAATGTCAATCTGGTCGCCATTGAAAAGAACACCATCGACCATGCACTTGTCAAATATGTTTCCATTTCAATAGAAATGTCTGCTTAACTAAACCAAAAATGTTAGCTGTAATTTCATGCAACTCACACACACATATAAATGCTTCATTTCTTTAAATATTGGCAACGAACACTTTTCACCTTTTTTTGTTTAACATTCCCCAGTCTTTATATAAGTTCAACGCAAACAAATAATGTGGATATTAAGGCTTTTATTAACACTTGTGTCCGTAAAAAAGATTTCATCACCAGAATTTCTTTTTCATTATTGCTTTGATGTTCATCTGCCGTTGACATTAGATATCATTCAGTCACCATGTATAATTAAAACGTTTTTTTGCTGCAGGACGTATTGTGAGTACGTGACAAAAAATGACCACAACCGTCTAATTTGTCTGCCTTTGAAATCACATTTTAGTGCAAGTAATCTTGTTGAGAGTTTTTATCAAGGCCAATAAACTGGAATAATAATTATGAATATCTACTCACCTATAATTGGATATGTAGTTAGCATAATGGATATCAATATGGAAAATGGTGCCAATGAGCAAAGTTCAAATTCTGGGCTAGTCTGCTGTGCTCACTTTCAAACAAATACTCATGGGACTGGCATGGATCCATCTCTTCTTTCTCCAGCTATGGGTTAAATAATAGAATAGACTAGCCTTGGCTAGCAACCAGACTAGAAAAAAAACTCTGAATTTAAACCAGTCTGAACAGGGATTAACTCCATCAAGCTATCTTGTCCTAGACAGGCTTACCATTGTCTTACCTGTAAGAGCCCCATAATCACTGCTACCAGTGATTATGGGGTTCTTACAGGTGAAACTAGCTACCTTAAAAGGCAATGCTGGAGGAATATCGAGAAGCCGTAATTTAGGAGTGAGGCAATGAAATTAGGAATTTGCTGATCATGTATAGAGGGAAAAGTGTTGTTACCTGTGTGGAATGTGGGTGAGAGGATGTGGGTGAGACGATGTGAGTGAGAGAATGTAAGAGAGAGGATGTGGATGAGAGAATGTGGGTGAGAAGATGTGGATGAGAGGATGTGGATGAGAGAATGTGGGTGAGAGATTGTGGGTGAGAGGATGTGGATGAAAGAATGCGGGTGAGAGAATGTGGTGAGAGAATGTGAGTGAGAGAATGTGAGTGAGAGAATGTGAGTGAGAGAATGTGAGTGAGATGATGTGGATGAGAGAATGTGGGTGAGAGAATGTGGGTTAGGGTTAGATGTGGGTGTGAGAATGTGGGTGATAGAATGTTGGTGAGTGAATGTGCATGAGAGAATGTGGTGAGAGAATGTGAGTGAGAGGATGTGGATGAGAGAATGTGGGTGAGAGAATGTGAGTGAGAGGATGTGGATGAGAGAATGTGGGTGAGAGGATGTAGGTGAGAGGATGTGGATGAGAGAATGTGGGTGAGAGAATGTGAGTGAGAGGATGTGGATGAGAGAATGTGGGTGAGAGGATGTAGGTGAGAGGATGTGGATGAGAGAATGTGGGTGAGAGGATGTGGGTGAGAAGATGTGGGTGAGAGAATGTTGGTGAGTGGATGTGGATGAGAGAATGTGGGTGAGAGAATGTGAGTGAGAGAATGTGGATGAGAGAATGTGGGTGAGATAATGTGTGAGTGAGAAGATGTGGGTGAGAGAATGTGGGTGAGAGAATGTGGGTGAGTGGATGTGGATGAGAGGATGTGGGTGAGAGAATGTGGACGAGAGGATGTGGGTGAGAGAATGTGGGTGAGAGAATGTAGGTTAGAGGATGTGGGTGAGAGGATGTGGGTGATCTTTCCTTTGTAGCTCTGAGTTGGATTTGTCTTTTCACTATCTCTCCAACTTGCTGTTTTGGTATCAATTTACACTTGCCCCTCTTGTTTCAATATAACCTGTGAGTGTCAAATTTTCCAACCTTTCTTTCCTCATTAACTATTGTAGAAGTTTTAATTTGTTCTTTCTAATTATAAGTGTATTTTTTGTTTTCATTGTCCTGACAGGACTATAATAGATTTCCTTTTCTTTCCGTCTTAATCCTTTTCTTTATCATGGCTTTTCTCTTTCTTTCTTTCTTTCTTTCTTTCTTTTTTTCTTTTCCTCTTCTTTCTTTCTTTCTTTCTTTTTTCTTTTCCTCTTCTTTCTTTCTTTCTTTCTTTTTTCTTTTTCATTATCATCTTTTTCCTTTTCACACTCTTTGATCTTTTTCTCCTTTCTTTTTTTGCTGACACTTTATCCTTATACTCTTTATTTCTTCTAACTCTTTGCTTATGGACATATCATGTTCAAACATTGATTTCTGTATAATCACCAAAGTTAAGCAACGTCAAGCCTGGTCAGTACCTAGATGGGTGACTACTTGGGAATACCAAGTGTTGTAAGCTTGAATGTGCTGGTGGTATAATGGCTCAGAATTGTTAATCAAAAAACTGAGTTCCAATTCCAGTTGGTTTCCTTATATTCATGAGCAAATACCCTTTGGAAAGGTATGAATCCACGGCTTCGCCCCTCAGCTATGGGTTAATTAGTTGGACTTGTATGAAGATGATCTCAAAAAAATCTTACAATCTAAAAATATTTTCTGATTTTAAATAACCTGTAAAGGGTTGATAATCAATCAATATTCTTATTCTTTTTTCTTCATTCTCTCTCTTTCTCTTTCCTTATCCTTTTTCTCTCTCTTTCTCTCCCTCACCACCCTCCCTTCTCACTTTTTCTTTTTATCTTGGTCTTTATCCTTATTCTTTTTTTCTTCATGTTTTCACTTATTCTTTATCATCTCTTTCTTTTTCACCCTCTTTGATTTTTTTTGTTCCTTTCTTTTTCTACTGACTCTTTATTCTTATACTCTTTCTTTCTTTTCACTTTCTCTCTCTTCTGTCGTCTCTTTCATTTTCTTTATCCTCTTTCTCCCTCTCTACTCCCCTTTCTCCCTTTTTTTTCATCTTGGTCTTCTTTCTTTCTTTCGTTCGGTTCTCACTTTTTCATTCTCATCTTTTTTCTTTTTCACCTGGAAATTTAAAAGTAGAGAATTAATTCCGATTATTTCTTCTTTCTTTTTCCACTCACTCTTTCTTCTTACACTCTCTATTTCTTTTCATTATTTCTTCACAATTCTCTTTCTTTCTTTCTTTTTTGTCCTCTTTCTCTCTTCCTCTCTCTTCACACCTCTCTTTTTCTTTACATCTTTCTCCTTTTTTTTTTCATATTAACTCTTTTTTCTCCCTTTTTCGTTTCTTTCTCCTTTCTCTCCTATTCTACTATCTTTTTCTCCCAATCTTTAGACTTACGGCTGAAATAATCAATCATTTGGCAAAGAAATAAACTGGAATTGCTAAGAAATCTACTTACATGATAAATACTTGTTTGTGTACCTGTATTTTAAAATAACAATTGTAATATTCCCCCCAAAATTGCATTTTATTCTTTTTCTGTGTTATTAAATTCTATCAGAAAACAGAAGGTTTTAAAATGCAAGTAGGAGATAAGTGTCATCAGCAGCAGTTGGGAGAGAAAATTAAAGGAAAATAAAAAATTTTGAAAATGATTATATTTTCTTTATTTCAAATTAGTGTAATTTCTTGTTTCTATCTTTAAGTTATTCTCTCTTGGTAGTTTCCAGATGTTTTATGTTGCTTCAATTTAAAATCGGTATGAGCTTTTAATAAATTTTTGGCAAACATGGACCCTTATAACTGTAAACAAAGACTGAGTGTCAAAAGGACTGTTTTTCCATTGACACTGCTATTTTTTTAACTACCTTCACTCCTCGGCAATGTTTATTGTTTTAAAAAGTGATGATTAGAATTGGAATAAAACTTAAACATATAATGAAAGTAAGTTTATACATTTTTTTTATTCATGAGAATTTACAACAAAGATATTAAAGACTATTTTTTATTTCTTTTATGTCTCATCACCATCTCATGGCTTCCATGTGCCTTTTTTACAGATATTTTCATGGAAATTATTCTAACATACTTCCCTCCTTTGTACTTCAATCCCATGAATTTAAGTATACTACTAGATTGGCAAGTAGGTCTCATAGTTTTACCATTTAAATTGCTAGATGTAAGTTCTAACAGTTTTTTTTTTTGGAAGTTTCTTCTCGTATTTTACTTCCCTGAAACTTATGATATTCAAAAATTTAAATGTAATATCAATCACCATCTTTTGTCTTCCTGAATCTTGTTCTTTTATTGTCCTTTCTCTTCACCAATGTCTTCTCATTTTGTTTTACTCACAGTAATCCATTGCATCTTAGTGGTGTTATCTCCTTGCCAGGGGTGAAATTATTAATATATATCACGATCACAATTCCTGTGACCCATCAGGATTGTAGGGGCACCGCATGCATGTATCGCAGGTCAATGCTCAAGAAACTTCACTTCTGCTGCGGCTGCAGTTATCGTACATGTGCTGCCCCTACAACCCTGCTGGGTCACAGGATTTGTGATTGTGATATATATATATATATATATATATATATATATATGCGTGTGTGTGTCTATATATACATATATATATATATATAAATATGATCACGTCGTCTTCACATGGGTGATGTTGTGAAAACATATTCCTAAAATTTGAGCATTTTGAATAAAAAGAATTTTATTTTGATCTAAAACTTATATGTACGTTTGTCGAGCATTAATCTTGCAAGAAATGGGGAAATATTAAAGAAGCCAGGTCATATTAGGATTTTTGTTTGTTTTTTCAGTATATTTTTCTTATATATATATATATATATATATATATATATAGAACACATGTACACATCAAGTGCTCCAGACCAGCTGCAATCTTCATCAAAGTTTTGGCCCATTAAGCTCAGTACCTTTCCACATGGTGGGCCCGCAACAGCTGGATGATGTTACATTGCAACCAGTCTATGTTAGTTGGATGTAACTCGATAGGAATTTCTGGGTAATCCATACACTGCCTTACATCACTTTTTCACCACAAGTCTTTATCACCTTATTCGGATTTTGGATACCAGCACACTTGAGGAATCTCTTTAAGGAAGCAGCAGGAAATCCTCTAGAGCCAACATCAAACATGCAGCTGTATCCTCTCTCATGGACTTCAGCCACCAGTCCCTCCTACTGAAGCAGATTTCTTTTATGAGCCTCTTCAATCCCTTCTTCCCATGCTACTGTCAGCTCACCAAGCAACAGATGTTGCTTCTTGATATCAATCAACACTAGATCTGGCCTCAGTCCAGACACAATAACCTCCACTGGCAGTGTAGCATCAACCAACGCTCCCCACTTCCTTGAGTCTGCCGACCCGGTCTTCTGCCTTGTGTCAGTCACACCTTGCTTCAGGAAGGCAATCCTTCGCAGGTCCGTCGAGGGTATACTAGCACTTCTCGCAGCTGTTGCCATGACCTCCAAAACCAAGTTAGGTCTGAAGGTGTACCAGCTGTTCTGTAGCATCTTCAGGCAGGATGACAGTATGTGGCACTGGTTTATATAAGCACCACACAACCAACAAGAAAGAGACTCCTACACTTGGCATCTCTTCAAATTTGCCACATTATATGCCTGTATGAGGAACCTCACATGTCCTGTTCTGAGACGCCACTAATCAGACCAACTGATCTGAACACCTTCAATGCCCTCCCAGTTGATGTATATATGTATATATATATATGAGTGTGTGTGTATATATATATATAACGTCATTCACAGACAGACTGTTTCACTGTTTCACAGCTCATCAGTGAGGCTAGACATCCAGTTGTCTCTAGCTAGGATCAAAACCCGACTAAATTGGTGTCAATTATTTTTAGAAACACGCCCAGTGACCGACAGTGACTCAATTTGCATTTGCGAAGAGTCTCGCTATATATAGCTATAATAGTCACTGTTTACCAACCCACACCTCCTCCTCAGAGAGCTCAACTGAAATTAATTTTTCAGGAGCCAATTAAACAATATATATATATATATATATATATATATATTGTTTAATATACTGTAATGTAATTGTTATCTTTGATAATGGCTTATGTAAGCCAAAAGCTTAGATAGGATTAAAAAATATGTATCAATATGGTGATTTTTTTCATCTTTTAATGATAATGTTATTAAGCTTATCAATATGAAAACATTTACATAAAAATAAATAGACAAAACTTGTTTATATTATTTAATGATAACAGAAGCCATTACTTTATACCAACAGCTTCCCATACTTAATACTTCTCGTTTTCACTCTCGTGTGGTCATGTGTGATGTCATGAGCTGTTGTGTGATTTTTACTTCCAGCGTCTTGTATGCACGAGTTTGTCGTCACTTGGAAATCATCCATGTAAACAAAAACAGACTATCATTATATATATATATATATATATATATATATATATATATATATATAATATAAATAAAATAATCAGTACCTATCTTACTGTTCTCATATAGAATCTTCTTAGTGAGCTTTGTTTTTGCAGTCCACACTGGTGACAGATCTTTCATGAAAATCTATAACGTGGGAACAATTTTTGCTGTTTTGTTGCCTTCTTAACATTTCTTAACTTAATCTCAAGCATTAAACGGCATAACAAGAATTTCAGGCTAGGCACAAAGATACCATTCTTGGTATGTACACATTATCATAGAATATAATATCCATTGTTGAATTGTTAAATTTTATCATCATCATGTTTGTAAATTTCTGCTAATTATAATTAGTTGTATGGAAACATAAGCAAATTATGTTCTGAGCTGAATATATGGATTAAATCTGACACAATGATGAAATAACAAAAAACAAGAAAATCTTTAGAAATGTTTTGCTATTTATTTAGTTTCAGCAGAAATTTGGAAAGTTGAACAATGTGGATTGGTTTCAATTTTTAAATTCTATGTTGTTTTCTTTTCATTTGTTGGTTACATCTCATGTGTTCTTTTTATAGTGTTATTATG